GGTTAGCCACGACCCTCAAAAGCTTCATGGCTTCCGTTGACGAGACCATCGGCGTGAGCCACGTGCCGAGCGCGCAAGTGAGCCTTCAAGGCCTCAAGAAGTACATATCGGAAGAAGAAAAACAGGTGAGGAGCGCTGCTCAAAATGACAAAACCCACTGGCAAATCGCTGAAAAAAAGACGCAAGCGCTCTTGAGAATTTGGGATGTTACCGACCGCCAATCGGAGCACAAGAGAATAAAAATCCTTTCCTTGAATGTTCTTTATTTTACAGATTCAACACAATGACTATTTACTGCATTTAATATTTAGTATCGATATTACTGTATTTTCTGCACTATAAGGCGCACCAAAAAGCAAAGACAATACCAAAAGCATAGTTAACTAAACGAAGGAAGGAAGGCAAGACTTCTCAGGATATTTTAGCCCCTTGTGGATGTGAACCCGCGAAGTTTGTGTGCCTTTTTGTTGAATCAAATTGTCTTCATAAGGTTTTGTCTTTCATTTGTTGTTTTGTAGCGCCATTTTGTATTTATGATTCATGTCCGTCTTTGAATAAATCTTGTATTTTTATGGACTTTGCGTCGTGCTTCATGCTACATCCCGAGGGAGCTACATGTGGATCAATATTCTGATTTCTTGGACGTCGTATTTTAAAGCGCTTTACAACTGCAGCGGTTGTGAAAGCTCTATTTAAATAAAGCCGTATTGCATTGCATTCCCTATAGCGTAGCTCCATCTTGTGGATGCATAGCGCAACCGCAGCCACGATTGTAGCTTCTATTCTGTGCGCCTTATAATGCAGTGTGCCCTACATATGACAATAGTTTTAAAATAGGCCAATCATTGCCTTATAATCCGTAGCGCCTTATAGGGCAGAAAATCCGGTATTTGAACGGCTGTTAAAAAAAAAAAAAAGCTTGAATTAATCTTTTGGTACCTATAGTTATTTGTTGAAGATGCAAGGAACATTTGGAATAAAATGAAGGACCTCAATGAGACGAAAGAAAAAGGCTACTCCATGATTCACGACGGTAAGACGTGGTGACTTACGTTCGCGTCATGTCTGTATTACGAATCGCGGCCGTTGAAAACGCTTTTCACCGGCAGGTTACCTGAAGTTATGGCAGCTCCAAACGCCAAAGGTCTGCCTCTCCGACCAGTATGATGTCATTCTCATCGACGAAGCCCAGGACTGCACTCCACGTGTGTTCCTCAGTCTTAACGAGTCACTTCTTGACTTTTGTCGTTCTTGCTTTTCCTTTCATCTTTCCCGTCCTCTTTCTTCCTTAGCCGTCATGGATGTGCTGTTGATGCAGAGGTGTGGCAAAATGCTGGTGGGAGATATCGTATTTTAAAGCGCTTTACAACTGCAGAGGCAAAGCTCTATTTAAATAAAGCCGAATTGCATTGTATTCCTATAGCGTAGCTCCATCTAGTGGATGCATAGCGCAACCGCAGCCACGATTGTAGCTTCTATTCTGTGCGCCTTATAATGCAGTGTGCCCTACATATGACAATAGTTTTAAAATAGGCCAATCATTGCCTTATAATCCGTAGCGCCTTATAGGGCA